CCGGCTGTGCAACATTGGACTTTCTGTGCATTTAACACTCGCTCGTACGGTGAAGGAAAACATCGTAAGGAACCCGGCATACCTTAGACCCGAATCTTCGGGCTATGTCAGGCACAGAAGGCTGTTAACTTGCCTATTTAAAAAAATAAATGCTCACGAAAAAGATTAGAAGATAAAGGTTGTAGTGCCACTGGTTTTAGTTTATATTACTAACAACCTTTAAAACTAAGTTAACTTTGTATTTTTAGAAAAACATTGAAATAATTACCTTGAAATAAATATTTGATTTACTAAACCAATACAAATTGGACATGGTGCCCGTTAATATTTATATGGTGCGTCAGATGTTATTCCAATCGATTTAATTACTCGATGGCTATTAACGATAAGAAATGCAAACAATTGCTCTAAATCAGGCCAAGAATTTATGGATCGTAAACACAACGTCCTTTGAGAGAACGGAAAAACCAACATGCATTATTAGCCTCATTACGCAAATAATTAATTGATTGACAGCATTGCTTAAATAGAAGACATGCTTAAGGGAAGAGCGTCCCGATATGCTATGCACAGATTGCGTAGCATTCGCACATTATACCGTACAAGGATTTATTACCAGAGACTAGTTTTTATGTTATGTATAATAAATATTTATTTGAGCTGTATTGGCTTGTGCGTCTCTAATATAAAGATTCGAACTGTGGCTGCGGACCTATGGACTTTCTATGTGCGCATTTAACACCCGCTCATACGGTAATTGAAAACATAGTGAGGAAATCAGCGTTATACCCAAAAAGTGTGTGTCATGCACGCTTATTAAAAAAAACAAATGATGACGAAACGGATAAAGAAATTTGAGATGTTACCCAACATCTGTTTCTTGACTGGATTTTTCTAATTCCTATTGACAAAATCAAACTATAAGCGGATTTTTAAATTCAACTTTTCAGATTAAATCCCATTTTTACATTTCGAAACACGACGGACGTTTAATAAAGATGGTCTCGGGTCATGTAACATGGACGTAATATGAATTATATTAATATAGACCATATTGTTTTGTAGTTTTTCGATAAAACAACAAAGATTAAACACAGCACTGATAAATACAGTAGATGTGTGGTGAAATTGTTTTAATTGTTATTGAACAGTGGCCACAGTTCCATCGTCGATAAACTTCAAGTATGTCTTGCTCTGTTTGTTCGATTATTTAATAGTTTATTGTATTACACAAGTCTTTATACGTTTAATCCTTGATGACATACCATTTCATTCGTTGGTTTAAGAATGTAAATTATAAATATACATTTTGTTTATTATCTACCGAAGTTTGGATATTTTACCAAAGCTTAATATATGCTTGTTATAATTATTGATTGAGCTTTGAATACCTTACTTTGATTCACATAATTATAAAATAATAACCTCGGTCTCCAGCCCGGGGAAATGAAAATACATGAGTCTTTTCATGACTCTGGCTCAAACGTGTTCAAAAAACCGAAGATTTTTATTTATTCAACCAAACAAGTTGCAATTACGGGTCACCTCAATGCGGCAAACAATACAAACACCATAATATAAAGAGAAAACTACAACAATAAATTAAAATATTAAAAAAATTACACAATACCTAAATATTTCTACAATTATTTGTTATTATACTCAAATTGTTTATTAATCAGCTCTAGCGAGTTTTATAAAATGTTACAGATTACTAAAAAAGGTCTTCGATCGGGAGTCACAAGTTGTTTTATAAAGCAAGTGTCGTCAATCATTACATAAATTGAAGCGTAATTATGCATCGACACTTATAAATACTTGTATTATGTATAATGAACATTTTACATAACATTCTTAGTTGTATAAAACAAGTTGCAGTACGTTTAAAACAAGTCAACCTATTCCTAGTTCATACATTATTCAGGGTGTGTATTAGGGACAAATTGTGAATACATTTCATTCTTAAGATAACAATTATGCTTACACCTCTGTCTATGTGGAACTAGGAGTTTGAACTCCGAGTAAGTTTTATGCATCGTAATTTGCAACATGCTTTTCAAGGTCACTCCAATTTTTATTAATCAATTTTATTCATATAGAGCGGTTTTTTTTTGTGATAGATAGAATAGAAGAAGACGCATGCTAAGTACGTAAATTTTCTAGATTTATGAATTGGTATGTAAATAGAGAAGATAAGAAAGACATTAAAAATAAGTACATCAACTAATAAATTTGGTGCATCATTGATAAACCATTTCTACTAAAATAATTTAAGATAATTAATAAACTTTCTCGTCCCCGTTATACTTAAGATTATACTTTTATAATTATGTTTGAGTTTTGGTTATAAATACTTTAAACTTAAGCGATACCGAATAAAAACTGTTCCATGCAGACAAAGTCGCGTCAGCTTATATTGAATGTTTTCACGTTACCTCTTAGAACGCGTCTCATTCAAGTCTCTCATTATTTAAGAATCCAAACGATTCGTTGAAATCCATCACAGTATGTCGATCGAGTGAAATGCAAACAATACACTCACCGTCAAAATATCTCCGGAATGCAAGTTTACGCTTCAATCAAATTATTTAATCACTTCTGCGCAAGAGTGCAGCACAGGCAACCTCTAAGGGGCGCTCAGGGAAACTGCTCGCTACTTGATATCACACAAACCGCGAGTCGCGACTGGCTAATCAACTTGAGTAGGGTCGCCACATTTTAGTTTATATAAGTAATTGAATAAGTAACTGAAATATAGAAACGCACAAATTATATATGAGTACTATCTACTACTTACTCATGTTCGACTGCAGATTGTGAAGTCTTGAGAAGTAAACCCCGGCCGACTGATTAGCTGCCACCTTACCCCTGGCGAACATTATGCAAAAATTGTAGATTTTCAAGGTATCTTACCTCGTAAAATTCATATGATGTTTTAATAATAATGGACTACAAAGATTTGTTACAAATATATGTTTCAAATACTACACACACACCCCGCCACCACCACACCACTCGTGGTCAGACATAAACTCTCGCTGAAGAGAAGAAGAGTTTTATATTATCACTATAATACAATAGAGATATATATTTATTATTAAATGTTTTATTTTAGGTACTTAAAACTACATATTTAAATGCGGATTTTGCTTCAATTTATTTTTAAAGGACCCTTAAAAATTTGAGGTATCGTATTCACAGAGAGTAAGAAATCATAGTCACTATGTGGAACTGGTCTGTTAGCAAGTTATCGCGAATGATGGAACTGCAGGCCCACACTTGCGAAGTGAAGCAACGCCTCACGTGGTACGATGCCTTAAGTTGCAAAATACTAAGATAAACAGCGATTTATTAAACCCGCAAAAAAAGGTTAACATACTTTTAAACAAATAAAATGTTACAGAATACCAGTCTTTTCTAAGTGTAATCGTAACATGCGGCAATGCCCGCTTTATGACATTTTGACCTTATAACCTTATACCTATCTTAAAAACTATATTGGCACAGATTTCTATCCTCAAATGATAATCATTTTTATGTATGTTTGTTTCTCGAATGTTTGATTTTCACGGAGAGATGAAACAGTTAAATATCAATTTCACATAGGTACATATAAAATTAGCTTATTAGTTATTTTATTATCTATTGAATCAAAAACGTACATTCCGTAGAAGTTTCGTACGTAATCCTGACTGATTCGAGCGGTAAGTTTCATATTATAAATGTACACTTACTTATACCATTCACTAAAAATAATTACCATAAAGATGTCGTTAGTGTAGTGTTAATTTCGCGAGCTTTTATTTTTCTTAATGGAGGTCGAATAGTGTATTATTTGTGGTCTGCATCAATATCTTTACTTACATCAATAAGTCAGTCCAATAGTTTAAGAAGAAGAATTGTTGTCTATAAGATGTATGTTTTAATTATAAAATCCATTACAAAGAAGGGGTAGACTTTTCTATGAGTATGGCTTTTAATTATCTGCTCTATGACATCAAGATAACATATGTATTTTTTAATGACGAATGGAAATGCAAATAACGTAGCCATGAACACAAGTTATTTTGATCTTTAAGTAAATATCTTTACTATTATTATTTCAAAAATTAATATTGATTACAATTTATAAATTTATCATGGGCTGGTCAAAAATTATGCACATTCATATTATGTCTCAAGTTGAGTTATTTAGTTTAGAGCAAATGTAGTATAGTGTTAACACCAATTGGTTTAAATTTGCAAACCAGCAAATCTGCAAAAATATCCTATGTACCTAATTAATTACGCGCAACTGTCAATCAAATGTCAATCGGGTCTTTCTTTCAACTTTCAAAGCATTTTGACAATCTTTGGAATACTTACACATAATTAGTTTTTTTTTTTTTTTTTCCTTTATGGCTCTGGCACGGTTTGTGCATTAGCCAGCGTCAAGTAGGTACATAATTAGTTTTTCCGTGGGGTTTTCTAATATCTATTATCTATAATTAACTATAGAGTTTGAGTTTTTAAAATCTTGTTAAATAGCCTATTATGCGATCTATAAGTTTATAAGCGGTCGGCTATTTATCATATTTTGTTCCTGGACAGTTACTCCTTTACTTGTCAATTCCCTAAGCAGTAAGCACAACAGTCAACAGTCAACATCGGTTGCAGTAACATAACCTGTGCAGTGTGGACTGTGGAGTGTGGACAGCGACAGTGGACACTGTCGATTAAAACTCGAAAACATTGATAAACATTTAACACACCTGTGCTAAAATATATCTATAATTCTATAAAAACATTATTAAGAATTAAACTAATGACTAACGTGCTTATTCGTAGTAGCAAATCTGTGAATATGAAAATAAATTCGAAACATCCGCGAATTCTGCAATGAATTTTTGAACAATATAATAACATTGTAATTTTATCAGGGCTAAAAGTCAGACAAGAAGGAATCAAAAAGAAAATTACTGTTCCACCATACTAAGAAGTACATGCCATTTTTATCGGCGATGAATACGTTTAATTTACATTTCATTTTAAAGTGTTGCTGTATCCTTCTGTTTTTCTTTGTGTATAATGCTACGACTACGTCATGTAATTTTAATATCAAATTAATTCAAACTCTCCACAATGAAGGGTTCCACAGGTGAATGCATTTAGAATAAAATGGTACCCGCAACTGTCTGCTAAAACTAAGGCAAATTATGTGGTATTTTCTCTTTATTTATGAAATTTTCTTCCATTAATAAAATATTGATTAAGTCTCAGTTATTGTTTAACTAAAAAGCTTAATTTATAAACAAAGTTGACAATACATTTTAAGAGTATATATCATATGATATGTGTAAATGTGACCATTGAATTGAATGAAAACATTTTCCAGGAATATAACATATGATATAGATTATGGAGCTTATGATGGTAATAAAGACTTTTACGAGGATTGCTCTGTGGGACTAGAGCAAGTACTGCCAGCTGGCCTTTTTGCTTCTCCTGATGAACTGGAAGAATTGAGATATAAGGTTGTGATTTTGTACATAATAGTCTTTAGTAATATTTATAATCATCCTTATATTTTCGACGAGTAGATGATGAGTTTTCTGGGTCTTACTAAACTACATTAAATTTGTGATACCAACTATAGATCAGTTCGTATTATCAAGTTATATATAAATCTAACACAAATCATAAAATTTTAGACAACAACAATATTCAAGAGCAAAGTGGACATAGAAATATCAGCAGAATTGGCAAGTCCTATCACTGTTCATCTATTGGGCACTGTACAAAGTCACAAAACATTTCTATCCCTACCTGTACATGCTCGCTATCACAAATCAGTAGCTGGTGGAGGGTAAAGGACTTACTATACTAATTTTCAGATTTATTCTATCAATTAAGATATGCAGACAATATGAATGAAAGATTTATTTAATAAAGTTTAGTGATAATGCATTCTACAAATGCGTATAAGCACAAATAAACGTAAAGTAACATTTAACAAACGTAATTGAATAAATGAAATCCTAAAAAAGCTTAGTTTGTAGACTGAGTGATCATATTCCTTTTCAGGCAGTGATTAACTTTAACACCAACCCTTTAAAACAACTTCCAAACAATATGTTTTATTGTACCAGATTTTGTGTTCAAGGTTCCCATACATGTAATTTGATGGTTAACTAGACAAGTTGCTTGCATAAATAATTAGATTACCATTAGTATGTGAATAAATGAATTATTAAAAGAATGGTGAATATTTTAAAATAATCCAGTTTGAAATTATTGTTTTACAGGTATGTTAGTGTGGATTTACCTCCACCACTTCTCTACATTAACTGTGGCCCCAAGAAAATTGGAAAGTGTAGCGGTGAATCACTTGTCAATAGCTTCTGTCCCAAAAATCTTCAATATAAGTGCCCCTGGATACAAGTGCCTGTTGGAGTAAGTTTGTGTATAAAAAGTAGTTGTTATTTTTAATGATTTAGTGCCAATATACTATGCTTACGAAGGTAAGGCAAGCATCAGATAGTTGGTTCTCAACATTAAGTATGATTTATTTTTTGTAGGGCGGCGCTCCACTAAGTTGGAAGATACCACGTGGGAATACGCAGCATCATAACTTGGTTTGGTTTGGGACGATAGCAGTCGTTTGCTTTGGTTCCTTATACATCTTGAAAGAAATACATTGCCATAAGACTAGACAAAATAAACATTAATTATAAAATTGGATATTATTTGGTGCAACGCCATCTATGGTGCAGCATGGTAAAAATGTCTTTATGGCGTTTCATAAAGCAAGTCGAGATACACCGTAATCTAAATGAATTTACCTTACTAATAATTTTAACATTCTATCGAAATTTTATGGAATATATATAAAACCAAAAGTATAAAAAATAGGATTATGTAAGTTATTTTGGAACGATTAATCTAATTAAAAATAATGTCGAACTATCAACTAGTTATATATATTATGTACGTAAATCAGAAAAGTGCCACCTGTCGGCGATTGCTTGTGTTATAATGTTAAAGTAGTAAGTATTAGTTACGATATTTAACGCCTCTTCTTAAAACACTGGCATCTATTGAAATTGGCTTACATTATTTAGTGTAGTAGTTTTTTGCCAGTATTGATGTACAACTTTTTAGTTTGGTACCAAATTTTTTGTAATAGGTATAATTAGTGAAAGTCCTTGGTAGTTGCAAAAGTAAAAAAAATTATGTACCAAAAAAAATTAAAAACGTAACAGTTCATGATAAAAATAATGTCTTATTGCTTTATAATCCTACCCTAGTTTTTATTGGTCACTCTCTGAATAAACAGTGAGATTGAGGCAAATGATTTTACATTGAACTAATTGACGTGAGAGCGCATCGCCCTCTTGTTATACTCGTATAGTTCCGAGCGCGGAACGACACTTCAGTGCTCGCGTGTGCCGGCTGCGGCTCTTGGACCACCGCCGCTGCCTCAACTTCTAGGATGTAATGCACTTTCTTTAGACTAGTTCTAAATTGATAAGTAAAGAGAGAGTAGGGTCAGCCGGTGGGCGGAACGCACAGATATGGATTTAAGATTAACGAGGAGCCGCGGGGGTGTTTACGTGCGGGCGCGGGGTGGGTGCGGGGCCAGATCGATGGTGGGCGGGGCGCAGAGGCGCGGGGCGCGGCGCGGCGGGGCGCGGTCGGCCGCCAGTCCGCCTCGGGGCCGCGTCCGCGCGGTCGTCGCCTGAAAGTGTCTTGCGGCCGGAGTGTCTCCGCGGGCGCCTGGCGGCGGCGGCGAGCCTCGCGCCGCCCGCCTCGATGCAGCGCGCGGCCGCAGCGCTCCCCCGCCCCGCGTCCGCGCCACCCAACAGCTCTCCCGACGTGCGCGCAGCGCCGCACCCGCGCCCGCGCGCCCTGTCCCGCGCCTGCGCCCGCTATTTCTTTGGGCCCGACAGCTCGACGGCACTGTGCAGGAGGTCCATTGTGAAGACTACGACTCGAGAAACCGCATTCGCATAGTTCGGACTCCGCTCGGTTGGCGTGTGATCCCGCGCACTGAGATCTACAACTCGATCCAGGTCCCACCGCCGCCTGCGGCCCCACCTCGACGCCGCTATCCTAGAGATAGACGCCGGCGCAAACCTCGAGGTTTTTCCCGCCGAAGACCTCGTTCGAAGCACGTAGTACCTGCGGAAGCCTTGCCTCCCGCTCCGCCGAGCCCGCCGACCGGTGAACTGCAGTGGCTCACGCCGGACCTCGAGTCTCATATCCCGTCGCACACGATCGCAGTGCCGCGCCAGTTGCCACCGGAGGCTACTCCGCTGGATAACCTGCTCGCGGTCGCCGAGCTTGAATTTAATCAACAGCGAACCGAGGACTCCCTAGAGCCCTCTACTCCGCCTTCCTACGGGTTCATACCCCCCGAGGAACCTAGTCGAGACGTGATGTCTTTTGAACTAGAGCAGCCGAAGACAGCAGAAGAGATGTTCTATGAACGCAAAGCGGTCGACCGAAGTGACGTTGATTTCCCTGGCGACATGTCGGAGCACAAAGATTTATTCGAAACAATCAGTGAAGCTCACTACTTGCCCGAGTTAGGTGGTCCACACGATGAAGCATTGCTAGAATCGCTCGTAGAAAAGGGTTGTGAAGATAACCAGATCCTAGGGCAAGCGCTCGACAAACTGGCGCATCTCGTGCAGGGCACTGCGGAGTATCCTGAGGATGAGGAGGGTATGTTATTAGGCAACGCCCCGGTGTCAGATATTATAGAAACACTAGAACAATCTTTAGAGTCTCCCAGCCGCAGCAGTATGACTGCCGCTCAAGGACTCCTGCACCTTCACCACATTGGCGACCACTTACAACAGGCTGACGCTCCGGAGATTGATAGCCACGCTTACATCTCTGACCGAGTGTTTGTTTCGGACGATTCCACTCACTGTGCTCTCGATAGTTTAACCGGGACGGCAAGCGACGTCCAGGTCGACAGTGAAATTAAAAATATTAACTTTAATCACAATGATGAAAAGAGGCTAAATAGTGAAATTGGTTTATCCGATGTTTTGTATACCGCACCAGTACCTGATTCTAACGAAACGTTCTTAAATAAACAATTTGAAGAGCCTCCGGCGCCGTCGTTGCCGGATCAGAGTGACGTCGTACTACCGAGTGAGGATGCAGAAGTGGAGGTAAAGGGACAGACATTGTGTAATACTGTTGTAGAGAGTTGTGATAAAAGTGAAGCCGAATCTAATATTGAGAAGATTGATAACATAATTGAATCTGAACAAAATGCGACCGTAATTGAGATAAAACATGAGGAATCCTTTACGAATACCCACGATGACAGTAATTTACCCACAGACTTAAGCATTCAGAACGTTGACTCGAGTCCTTTAATGTTAAGTCATAATGAAGTCACAAACGGTTTAGAAGATAATGTTTCAGATAAAAGTGATGAACAACCCAAAGACTTAAGCGTTCACAAAAGGGTGATGACACCTGGCACTTCACCGCGGTGTACGGAAATGCCGCGCGCTCCCTCGCGGGAGTCAGATGCAATGCAGTCGCCACAGCCTAGTGGTATACCTGCCGTGCCTTCATCACCTGAGATATTTACGATGCCACTCACTAAAAGCAAACAAACGTTATTCCTTGAAACGCTTTTATCGTCCCCTTCTCCTAAAATGTACACATCAGAGGTAACTATCACAAAACAACAGTGTGAACCATTAAATCTAGGAAAACACAGGAAATCTGCGAGTCCTACAGTTTCTAGTTGTTCGGATGAGATAAAAAAAATTAATAAAGAATTCGGAGAACCTCAAGAAAAAAAATCTAGACGTGAATCTATTGATGATTTAGCTAAAATTAGTAAAGTTTTTAATAAGTGCAGTGATGAACAGACATCGAAAAAGTCTGACCGGTCCTCCAGTAAACCGAGTGATGTTAATACTCCTTTACAACAATTTAATATTTTAAAGTCTCGGTCAGATTACACACTCCCGGACCCTCTCCTCATACCTAAAGACAAGCTAGAAGCGATCCTGGCAGCTCCAGCGCGCGAGATCCCCGCATTGCTCATCCAGAGGCCTGAGCTACGGCTGCCGGCTACTTTCGCCTTTCCAGCTATTCTGCAGGACCCTGACATACTCGTAGTTTCCTTGACGCAGTTGGAACATGTCCTATTAGATAGAGAAACGAAACAGGTTATATCGCCTAGAACTAAAGAGCACAAAATACACTCCTCTAAAGGCGAAAGAGAACAGACGGCGCCACCGAAACCAATTCCCTCAATGGATGCCCTCGCAGGTGACATTGACGCTGCTACCTCCGCAGCGCTCAATCAAATGCTGTGGCTGCCTTACCTCAGCCAGCTTGAGGCCATGGCCGCTTGCTCGCAGAACATGGATTTCATTAAAGCTTTGAACTCAACCGGGTATGGTGGGCCAAACTATCCAGATATATCACAAATGTTTAATCCGTCCGCTCGATTTATGGGAGCAGGCTTCCCTGCGACGCCTGCCATGCAGGAGTACGATAGTCGGATGCAGTTCGCGATGTGGCAGGAAGCAATGGCGCACGCTGCCGCAGCCCGGCCTAAGGCCTCCGCACCGCCTGACCAATGCAAGGAGGCATCCAAATCGAGCGACGTCCAAAACCCCTACGTACACTCAACGAAGAGTCATGGCAGAAGTCATTCGGCGGCGCGTACGAGCCCAATTGCGACAAGCTACAGTGGAGGGCGCGCTCTTCACAACCCATTTTTGGGCGCCTACGGGCCGGCGATGCGGCCCAGTGCTCCTCCGCCAGGACTACAGCTGTCATACCTAGGGCCGCCTGCGCCCAGTCAACGATCACCGCGCGGTCAACAGAAGAGTCCGCCGTCACCTTATTTCCCTAACAACAATTACTTGCAAGCGGCACGGAGTGGAGCTGCGGAAGCGGCGCGGCCACGAATTAGTGTCAAGTCGCTTCAGAATCTTCTGGAGCCGGGTGCGGCGGCGAGAGGTCGCCGAGAGGAGCCTGAGGTGGGCAGCACCACGCCCGCCGACCCTCGTCCTCCGCACGACCCCGCCGCGATGCACCTCTGGCACCCTCTCTTCGGCAAGTGAGTATCTTGTAGCACGCACGTTTGTTGTTGTTATTTTATAGATATATAAATCTAAACATAAATCTTTGTTATATTTAATAATAATTATGGTATAATTGGGTAAAATTAATTATACCATAAGTCAAAAGTATTCATGAAATTTAACCGTACTCGATATCGAATTGATTAAAATTGTATTATCGTTATAATTTGTTTAAATATTATAAAGTACAAATTAAAGTGTATGAATTTTATTCATTCCCGGCTTTTTAATAATAATCAATTTCAGAAGCCACAGATAGAATTTCACACAGCAAAAATGCTAACATCTATTTTTCAGTACTATTTTAAATTATTAAATTGCATTCAAATTCCACCAAACAAAGCGTATCGTTAACAATTGTTAGCAATGGGAGGCTAATTGAAATCGGAAGTACAATTATATCCCCAAGTGGGTAAACAATTACACGTCACTAGGGGAGCAAAACTATTGTTGCATCCAAACCCCACTAATCGCAGGTCTTTTAGTGGCGCGTGGCCCCTTTTTACTTCGCGGTTTTTCCTGCAAATCTTTTAGTAATTAATCACTACTATTAAACAATGAAAGGAACGAAAGTGGTAAAATAAATTAAGTTTAATATTGCTATTTATAATTATTCCAAAATATAAATAATGGGACATTAAGTTAGGAAATGTAAAATAATATTACACTAAAATTAAGTTAATCTTTCGGGCATGTCCAGCAATTAACAAAGTAAAAAAAAACGTGTGTGTACTTATGTACACGCGTTAGAAGTTATACTTCTTTGGCGTAACAAGATAAAAATCTATTCATAATTTTACTTTACGTTTGTAGAAAAAACTAAACTTAGAATAGAAAAAACTAAATGTTGACTATATATATAGCTAACTTCAGGGTGTCGGTTTTTTGTGACGGTGTGCGCGCGCGTCTAGTTTAGTCTTATAATTTTTACCTAACGCGCCAAAAGAAGTAACTTCAAAAATTCCTTTGGCTAGTTAGTATTTGTGATTATTTGTGCGAAAATATTCTAACATAAATATGTTAGAATATTTTCTAGGCTATTTTAATGTAAAGATGAATGATAAAACTTTAAATACTTATTTTAGGAAAGATTACCACGAACTTATGCTATTTCCACTAGACATGTCTAATTATTAACTCGTCTGACCTACTGGCTGTAAATATTCGTGCCTCTATCGACGAGTTTAAAGATTTGTTTAGCTCTCAACCTACTTATTCTATGATGGATCTTGTCATCTAGCCACTTAAATGTCTATTTATATAGCAAAGCTCTTCAAGCACTTTGAATATTCAATAATTTCGGGCTAGAGGCCTCGGTAAAAAGCCAATCTAATTCTAAAGATTTTTTGAACATAGAAGGAAAATGTAAATGTAAAAAGTATGTATGTGATTACTCTATATACTCTATCTAAAAAAAATATGTACAATTTTGAACAAAAGCTATATGTTGCGATAAACTCACTCATGAAATATAAATGAAGACACAGTTGTGCAAATAATCTATTAAAAAAATATTTGCAATTACGTTCACGGCGCTTTATGTTTACATTTTTAACATTTACAATATTTATTTGAATAACAAATACGAAGACAGAAGACTAATCTTGAAGATTTAAATAAGCTTACTGCTGAAAGCAATTACTTCCAATCAGAAACTGGCCACAAAGAAAAGATAAAGTAAAAACAAACATAAAATTTATTTAAATCAAAAAGAGGGATGTTTTTAGTTTTATCTTCTTTTTATACACAGTGTAAACTCTTTATAACGAATTTCAAGGGACCGATCGTTTTTCTTTGTTGTCGAGAATTTTCGTTGTAGGGAAAAAACACCGAATTTGTAAATGTTAAAATGTTAATGCACACGTGTAAATGCAATTAACATTAACAAAGGCGAGAAGGCTGTTTTTGACCTCAGGTGTCTTTCTTAGAAATTTCGGCACCTCAATAGGTTAGTTTTGTAATCTGATTATAAAAACAATTACACTTAAGTATGTTGTTGATGTTTAGTTAATAAAATTTTCGTCGTAATAGAGAATGGATACCGCGTTATAAAGAGTGAATTAATGTATGGGTTTTGTGTTAAACCAAACAAATTTAATATTTTTTTACGTTATAGACAGTAGGTATTTCGAAATAACGTATGACGTTATAAGGAGTTTACACTGTAGTTAAAAATACACAGCAAAATAGGCTTTGATAACCTCGTGACATTATTGTAGTGTGACGTCAATTATATTATGGTAAGTGCTGGAGGTGTTGTGGAGGCTTGGGAGGGGGCGTGGGAACGCGAGCAACCCGCGTACATTCGTTATTTATTGATTTCACTAAAAGACGATAAGACTTACTGACATGTAACAGCCATGTTGTATTTTATTGACTCACTTTTGCCAATAGATGATTTACCGAAGGGGTGGTGCAGGTTATTGAGATAGAGCGAGATGGACGGCACTGGGGAGGCTTATGTCGAAGTACAGCCTGACGAAAAAACTATTTCTTAGTTGTTAATAAAATATTTTTGTTTTAAGAACAAAAATAGTTGAAAAATACAGCGCTAACATTATGTTTTTGTCTGTAAATTGTCAGGGAATAAAGGTTCTTGACGAAATACTGCAGACATATTAAGTGATTAAATCTCTAATAAGTTTATATTTTGTGGTATATAAATATTGTTCGATTGATTGAATGAAAAAACTAAAGTTTTAGTTTTCTTCTGGTTTAAGATGAACCACGAAAACAACGAAACGACTTTTTTCTCTATATTAAAATTAAAAGTTCAAATATTGCGTTTCAAAATAAGAATCAACAGAGCTGTGTTAACCAGACGTCTTAATCTAAGATCTTGCGTATCCTGGCTGGTCCCTAAACGGGTCTTTTTCTAAGTCTCTATCGAAATAAAACCATGACGTAGACCCAAGAAATACACGTCGTGTAAGAAGGCTGAACACTTACTTGCCTAAAATGTTGTCAATAAAACACGTGTTAACTCGCCCCTTGCCCAAGGAGGGTTACGAAACTGCAATAATTGAAATATCAAAAATGTTTCGAACTCAAAATTCTAGAACTAAATATTTAAAATTCCAAATTTAAACTAACCCCACATGTACCGTCATGTTAATCAATACAGCAGTCAATTTTTATTGATGTTATTTGGGCGTTAATAGGACCGTTTTAAATGATTTATCAGACAGCCCTATTGAAAATTGTGAACTGCACTTTATTGTACACAAACTAAGGATGCATTTTCAATACACGCACTTACCCTTCATATGGTGACTTAAACTCACATTAAAGTAGACAGTAGACAGACACGTAATGTCTTTGGAGTTATTCTATATTTAAACGTCGGAAAATATATAAACAAGAAAAAGGCATAGAGCTTTCTTGTTTTCTGTATTTCTTCTAGTGTATAGATTAATCTAGCAACACAATTGTGTCATTTGGCTTAAATATTCTAATAGGAGTTACTTGACGAGGAATTGATATTATGTTCGATGAATCTTTGCGATATCCTCATATTATACATACTCAGGTAATATCTAATATATAAACTTCTCGTGTCACAATGTTCGTTCCCATACTCCTCCCATTTTTTTTATATTTTTTTATGATACAACATACAAAAAAAACATACAACCCTTAATTTTCATCTACCCTCTACGATCAACACCTATTTTTTATTTGATAGTTAACAACTTATAACTTGAACTATGAGGTTTATATAGAGAAAAATCACAGAACAAATCTCTGGGGCTAATTAAAATCACATAAAGGAGAAACGAAGTTCGCGGTGGCAGCTAGTATGTTATAAACTTCGTTCGCGCGGGAATTATACATAAAATAAGTACATAGGTACTTACAATTTAAAAAAAAAAATTTTTTATGTAAACGTGTTACCTTATGTTATCTGCCGATCTCTTTCAGCCACCCTAAATGAAACAATATTTATACAAAAAATTTGATTAAGTAGAATAAAAAATGTATCAGCTAACTTGCTCACTATCTTAAAATAAAAAGCCAAGTTTGGCAAAGGGTTGGCGAATAGGAAAAGATTCGGAATCGAGACTTAGTTTGAGTTTCATAAACAAGGCTATATGTGACTCCCGTGTGTCAATTTTTTTTTGGCTTCAAGTCTCAATTGTCAAAATCCAATACATTGTTCTAAAAGCTTAAATTTATCGCTATAAGCTTGACGCCTATTTGTGTAAAACTAATCAGTTTTGCGCTGTGATCTTTTCTTAACTTTTTCTAGTAATTTTGACCCGACTTTGAAAATGGATATTAGTTGATGATCTTAGGCTTCAAAGTACACGTGTGATACATTTTGGACATTAATCCACATACTAATCAGAAACTAAAAGTTATTTCGATCTTTTGGACTTCACTTATATTCAAACTTGGGAACAGTCTAAGATTTATCATTGCTTCAGGAATTTTTGAGATACGGGTTACGCATTTTTGGAGGGACCTGTATGATACATAAAGGTATACAATACCTAGGTAAATAATGAGGTATTTGAATTACCGTTATTTACATTACGGTTAAATATTTTGCCGAAGCCCTGGTAGAACCACGTTCCAGAGATTACCTTCACAAAATTTACCCATAGATGTAGGCACCCTGCTCTTAGGTTAATACATATTAGGCCTCGTAGCGTTACGGTCATATTAGGTGACTGCATCTGGTCCGAACCCCGGTCGGAGCGCAATTTTATTCAAATTTAAATTTTTCTTCTGCTTTGGCTAGTATGGTGCCGGAGTCGATATGTAAATTAAAGTGTGATTATTATAAATAACACTATAGTCGACGTCTGTCGGTTAGAAATCGATCGTGTAACTTTAATGAGCCGTGTTCTAGTTACGGTTTATGGAAAAGCGATTTAGTTATTTTATATTCAGCCTCAAGGCCTCGTGGAAGCACTAATAAAGTAATGTATTCCCCCACCCTCCGCCACCCCTTTATGGGCCGTGTGTTTAATACT